AGATAATAGGGAATCTGTCTACTTATCTACTTCTGATATATATATATAATATGGTAATTTTACTCACCGCGTCCCACACACGCTATCGTGAATATTACAAGTATTATTTTCATCGTCATCGTTGTCGCTGCTGCAGGCTTGACAATGCGTCTGCTGCGTTAACTCGTCGTGTGACCCTGAGTGACACGCGCCTTATATACGTCCGCCGCGTGACGTCACAGATACGTCACGCAAGCAAAATGTAGAAAACAATTAGTAACGACTTTTTCTCGGCTCATGGTTTAGATGGCGACGACGTCCTTCGCATCTGTGGACGGGGGATCGGTGAGTGGAGGAGTGGGGCGCGTCTATAAGCTTGTGTTGATCTGTGTGACACAGGGTCAGAGGTGGTGACTGGGTTAATTACCCTGCAATCCGTGTTACCAGCGCGTGGGTTAATGTTGTACTAATGAGAGAGTAAGTGAGTGTGCGTGCGTGTGTGTGTGTGCGTGCGTGCATACGTCCCTGAGTGTGCGTACGTGTTCGTGTATGTATGTGTGCGAGCGCAAGCTTGCGTGTGTGTATCTGTGTGTGCGTGTGCGTGCGTACGTGCGTGCGTGCGTGCGTGCGTGCGTGCGTGCGTGCGTACGTGCGTGCGTGCGTGCGTGCGTGCGTGCGTGAGTGAACTTCTATATGGGTGAGTTAACGAGGCAGCAATATATGTGTGTCAGGCGAGCTAAGCTCATTAATTTTAATCAGCAATTAGCATCTGAAGAGATTCAGGAGCTGCTGCTGTTGCTCCGTTAGGTACTCACTTTTATAATAATTACCTGATTTCTGTTTCTAAATTTCTATCTTACATTTCACCTGCCTTCACTGCTGCCTCTGTTTACTTTTACTTCTAGTAAACTACCTATATTTCATATACAGTGGCGTAGTTAAGAGGGCAAATGGTGCCATTGCTCCCCTGTTGATCAAAAAGTAAAAAATTGTGTCCGATATGTTCGAGTGTCCGATCGCACATCGATTTGTCTTATCGATCTTTTATTGTCAATTACACAGCGCTCAATCATGGTAACACAGTTACGTCACTCCCTCACCTTTAATAATTACTCATTAATTAGCTCTAATTATCAATTAACGCAGAAGTTATGAGCTAAAAACTAACACAGCGGTGCCGACAACAGCACTATGACGTCATAGCTACTCCACCATTGAGCGTGCGGCTGATGACCACGCAGCGTCACGAGGGTCATGAGAAGTCGTGGATAGGTCAGTAGTGTGATCGAGGTGATCGGTCAGTAGTGTGATCGGGGTGATCGAATGCTCGAATCTATCATGTAGAACAACGGTGAGGGTGACAAGGTGAAATAGAGCGACGGTGACTATAAGCTGATTGCTCTCAGGTCTGTGTGTGCGTGCGTGCGTGCGTGCATGCATGCGTGTATGTGCACATGTGTGTGTGTGTGTGTGTGTGTGTGTGTGTGTGTGTGTGTGTGTGTGTGTGTGTGTCTCCCTCCTCACCCATCCTCCCC